CAGCCAGCCTTGCGTCAGGGCTGGGGAATGGGTGGGACAGGAGCCAGAGGCTGTGGAGACAGCCGTCTAGCGCCTGGGATTCTTTTCTCCCCAATAATCTGTTTTCAATTTTTCATTATTATATTTTTTCTTTTTCAAACCCATCCTGCCAAGGAAAAGGCACGCAAGTGTGGTCAACTCCCAGCCCAGCCTACATCAAACTCTTTGAGAATTTCTGCTTTGAATCATGGGGAAGGGGACCCTGCCATATGTCACATGTGTCCAGCCCCCACACCACTGCGTATGCCGTTTCCACACCCTGCCAGGCCCCGTCTCCTCCATCTTTCCCGATTCTGTTCAGCGTTTATCAAGCTTGGCCGCAGGGCTCTCCCCGGACAACAGCTCTCTGATCTCTCTTTCCTCTCGTTACCTCAACCCCTACGGTCTCACCAGATCTGGGGACGTGTCTTGAATTCTCATTTTCTTGATTTAACACCTTTGAGGGCAGAGACAGCATCATCCACGTGGTCTGACGACTTTCATAAATTGACAAAGCGTTTTTATCGCTGCCATACCAATGGCAGGAGAGATGATGAGGACGTTTATCCCCATTTTACAGATGAGAACATGGAGGTTATGAGACCAGAAGTGATAGTCACCCAGTTGGGGAATCAGCATCTCTATCCTGATGCCCTGGCTCTCTCTAATGTGCCCTGCTGGGCTAAGCACACAGTAGATGTGTGTGTAAATGTGCAAGAGTGGGGCTGGGCAAAGGCTGGGGACTGGCAAGCTCTTCCCTCAACTCATCCCCTCTTCTGCCTGGACAAGCGGTGAGTCTGCATTTCCAGCCTGCTTGCGAGGAAAACAAAGTCCCTCCGTGGACTGATGACGGACGTAGGCCTGATTCTGCACCACGATGTTTCCACACCCCCTTGTGATGTGACTTTGCCTTCGTTCCCTCCAATGGGGGTTGGCCCTGGGACTCTCTTTGGCCCATTGAGTATGGCGGAAGTGACCTTGCGCTAGTTCTGAGACTGAACCTCAAGAAGACATGCAGTCCTTGCAGATTCCCTCTCTCTCTGTCTCTCCTTCTCTCTCTCTCCCCACACACCCACTGCTCCCCACTCCCCCTGCCCCACCACTGGCCTCCTCTACCACAAGACAAGCCCAGGCCAGCCCCTTGGAGAATAGGAGAACCCAGGGAGTGGGACCAACCCTTTTTTCTTTTTCTTTTCTCCTTCCTTCCTTCCTTCCTTCCTTCCTTCCTTCCTTCCTTCCTTCCTTCCTTCTTTTCTTTCTTTTGTTTCTTGACGGTGTCTCATTCACTGTCATCCAGGCTGGAGTGCAGCGGCATGATCTCTTGCTCACTGCAACCTCAACCTCCCGGGTTCAAGCGATTCTCCTGCCCTACCCTCCCAAGTAGCTTGGACTACAGGCCCATGACAACATGCCCAGTTTTTGTATTTTTAGTAGAAGCAGGTTTTGCCATGTTGGCCAGGCTGGTCTCGAACTCCTGACTTCAAGTGATCTGCCAGCCTTGTCCTTCCAAAGTGCTGGGATTACAGGTGTGAACCACTGTGTCCGGCCCCAATTCTGACATAAGACAGTTCTACCACCATTTTAAGTCACAAACATGATCTCAACTCAAATTTAAAAAGTCCAGTCAAGCTATTAATCCAAACTCCCAGTTGGATTTGGGTTTAAACCTTCTCCCCTTGTCCAACTCAGGCCTGTTCTGGGGTGGTGGCTGGGGAGTTCTTTCTCTAGCCCTCCTCCCCTCCCCCACAGGTGGGGGCTGTGGAGATAGCAAGGGGAGAGAAAGGGTCTCGCTTGAGCTGCCGCCATCCTGCTAGCTTTGAGCTGACAGTGTCACAGATGTCCCACAGATGGCCATTGCTGCAAGGCCCCTCACTCTTTACCCTGGGGGGACGTACCTCTCCTTCTGGAGGCATCTTGCAAGTCCTTCCTTGGCCCTGAGATCCAACTCCAGCTTCTTGCTAAGACCACTCCACCCTCCAAAAGGCCCTAGAGGACAAGACCCAAGCTGACCCCTGCAAGCTACCCCCACCCCAGCCCACATCTGATCCCCAAACCCTTCCAGATCCCCTGCCCAGCATCTGGAGGTGAGGAGTGGTCCCCTCTGGGTGAGGTCTCCTAGCTGGAGCTGCCACTCCTCCTGCAGAAGCTCCTCCTGCAGAAGCTCCTCCTGCAGAAGCT